ATAATGAAAATCAAGGTTTGAGAACATCATATATTACTTCGACCTCGTCAAGCAGCTCTTTTCTGATACTTGAGTGCCAGGCTATTTAACGGCGGTCTAGCCTTCAGGACACCGAGATCAACAGCGTGCCCGGTGAGAGGACAGCTCTGGCATCGTTTACGTCTGTAATTGGTATTGCAGCCGGCACTCCTCTCTTGCCGCACCACGTATCTGGGAAAGTAATGGACGCGCTTCCTCTGCGTCGTCGCGCACGGCGGCATCGTCACCACCAGATCCTGCCTGTGAATTCTGCTCACCGGCTCCGGAAACAATCGCTCGTTCAGCAGATATTGCTGCAACGATCCCGACGATCCGGACGATGTCAAGGTGTGGCTCGAGCCGTGCGTCTCGAAATAATTTTGCTCTCGGAACTTCTTCAGGTCCTCCACTTCCTGATCCACGGAATCCTCGGGGCCATCGACGTGCCGCGAGCATTGTTCCCTTCGCTCGCAATACCTCGGTAAATCGCGTCTCTCCGCACGCTTATCACCGCCGAGCTTCGCGGTCTTCCTCTCGAGCTCGCTTCTATAGCAACAAGGACAATCTTGGTTGCGCAACCGCGTCGTTCTTCGCGTTGGCGATTTCGACGCGGATCTTTCGCTGGACTCCGATATCGGCCTCCTGGATCTGATAGTCTTTCGTAATGTTGACTTTGACAACTTTCGCGGAGACACTTGAGCTCTTTTGCTCGAAGCGCAGACGACGTCGTCGGACCGGCTTTGTTCGCTCGCTCCTAGTGAATTCGTGGACGCCTTCGGAGATCTTCGCCTCTCGTCAATGCACTTGCATTTATCCGCTTGCAATACCGTTCTCCCATCGGCAATGGTATCCTGCATCCTCGCGCTTGTCATAATTTGGTGATAATCGGACGATCGCGGACACGTTCGCGGACAGCTTCCCCGATCCGCGGTCCGTAACTCACAGAGCTTGCTCTGCACATTCCGAAGGAATTGAGATCTGGGCGCGTAGTCGATTTTCCAAACTCTTCTGAGCGTCTCGCAGCTGATCGGCGCGGCTGGCGCCGTTTTGTCGTCAACCTTTTCGACGGGTCTGAGCTCGAGCTCGCTTCGACAATGACGGCAGGGCGACGCGGGTTTGCGACGCAACGATCTTGCGTGCGTCTTGCTCGCCTCGGAATGACAATAGCAACCCTTTACAGGTTTCCTAGGCGCGACTTTCGAGCATTGCTCTTGAGGTTTCTTAGACGTTAACGTGAGTTTTTCAGATGCAAACATATCTGGAACTTTGATGCAGTTGCACGTTTTTCGACCGACATGAAAGTACTCTGGATACAAAACAGCTGTCGAATCGTTGTGTAATGTTTATAAATCAGTGTTCCTTCCCCTGTAATTGTCTTGATCTCAAAAATCTGTAAAAAGAAGTAATAAAAATTAAGTTGTCTGAAGAACAGTGATATATTCCTACTCATACGCAAAATATATACTTACAGCATTTGTGAATGCAAATTCACTTGTATCCGTTCTAAAATTTTCACCAATGCATATTAGCAACATTCGATTTTTCTTAATTTTTCTATGTTATTCAGCGTTTTTGCAATATGTTTAGAGTTTACGATTTAGAGCTTAATATTATAATTAACAT